CTTGGTACTCTCGTTATGAACATCTTTTCGGTGAAGATGCCGACAAATTAGATGATGCCGAAAAAGTGAGGTTAGTTTTGCGAAAATTAGAACCTGATGTTTTCGACAAGTATGCCGACTATATTTTGCCTAAAGTGCCTCGTGATTTGGATTTCAGAGAGACAGTTTCTACATTGAAAACTATTTTTGGAAGAAAAGAGTCTCTTTTTAGTGCACGAATAAATTGTCTTCAATTTACTAAAAGTTGTGGTATCGACTTTGTTACATATGGTGCTATGGTAAATCGTAATTGCGATAATTTTGAGTTTGGCAAACTAAAGGAAAACCATTTTAAGTGTCTGATGTTTCTTCGTGGCTTGCAAAGCGCAGAAGACACCGATATCAGAGCGCGCCTTTTGAACCTTTTGGAGGGAGACACAGAGGGAGCATACACAATTGACAAAATGGTTACCGAAGTACATAGGGTACTAAGTCTAAAAAAAGATGCCGCCATTGTTGAACAAAAAGTACATGCCGTAAAATCAAAAGAGCACAAAGGTAAATTAAGAGAAAAGCACAATCCAAGTGAAAAACCGAAAAGGCCTTGTTGGCAGTGTGGCGCGATGCACTTCGTTAAAAATTGCACATACACTAAGCACTTGTGTGAACAATGCGGAGTAATCGGCCACAAAGAGGGATATTGTTCAAGTTTCTCTTCACAACGCACACAACAAAACGACAAGAAATATAAAAAAAATAATGCAAAATTTAAAGCGAATTTACATGCCGTAAACAGCGTCGCTGCAAACAGAAAACACATCAACGTTAAAATTAACGGCGTAAAACAACGTTTGCAGTTTGATACTGGCGCAGACATCACAATAATATCAAAAACTATGTGGTCGAAAATAAACAAACCTAACCTCACACAACCATCTCAAACACCAAGAGACGCATCAGGTAATGTTCTCAAGCTAATTGGACAGTGTAAAGCAGAGGTAATGTTTAAAGAAAAGCTAATAATAGCAACACTTTTCGTGACAAGCCTCAACCATTTGAATATTATGGGTGCAGATGTAATGGACCAACTTGGTATTTGGAGTTATCCAATCGAATCAATTTGCAACAACATCAGTGTTTCGGAAGTGCAGGAAATCAAAAATAAATTTCCGAAAGTTTTCGCCATGCAGCCCGGACATTGTTCTACTTTCAAAGTAAATTTAAAAGTGAAGGTCGATGCCAAACCAGTATTTAAACCAAAACGACCGGTGGCTTATGCAGCAGTCCAACAAGTAGATGATGAACTTCAACGACTGGAACAGGCCAATATCATTACACCTGTAAATTACTCCAGATGGGCTGCACCTATTGTTGTTGTTAAAAGGGCTAACGGGAAAGTTCGATTATGCGGTGATTATTCTACCGGTTTAAACGAATGCATGGAAATACACACCTATCCACTTCCATTGCCTGATGATATTTTTGTTAACTTCAACAACTGCAAAATCTTCACAAGGATAGATTTAACTGACGCATACATGCAAATTGAGGTAGACGATTCTACAAAAGAGATGCTCACCATCAATACACACAGAGGTCTTTTTACATTCAACCGACTTGCACCTGGGGTCAAGTCCGCTCCTGGCGCGTTTCAACAGGCAATTGATACAATTCTATCTGGTGTTCAATATGCCTATCCGTATCTCGATGACGTCATCATAGCAACGCCGTCAATGGAACAAAATAAAAAAGCAGTCTATGAAGTGTTTTCACGTTTTGAAAGGTATAATTTGACTGTAAATTTTGATAAATGTAGTTTTTTTTCTCGTAGCTGCACCTACCTTGGATATAAAGTCGATGGGACCGGCATCAAACCTGATCCAGGTAAAATTTCATCCATTTTAAAAATGCCAGCTCCAACAAATATCACAGAGCTGCGGTCATTTTTGGGTGCAGTGAACTACTATGGCAAATTTATTCGCAAAATGCGACAGTTAAGAGCACCATTAGACGAACTTTTAAAACGTGATTCTGAATGGAAATGGACTAAGCCTTGTGATGAAGCTTTTCAACAGTTTAAGGAGATTTTGTCTTCTGACCTTATGCTTACACACTACAATCCAAGTCTTCCAATTAAGGTGGCTGCAGATGCCTCCAATGTGGGCATTGGTGCTTACATTTGCCACGAATTCCCTGATGGTACTGAGAAAGCTGTATACCACGTTGCGAGGTCATTGACACCGGCAGAGCGCAACTATTCACAAATTGAAAAAGAAGGTTTGGCACTCGTATTTGCAGTAAAAAAATTCCATAAAATGCTGTATGGCCGTCGTTTTAAGCTGGAAACCGATCATAAGCCTCTATTGGCTATTTTTGGCAGTAAGAAAGGTATAGCAACACACACAGCTAGCCGGTTACAGCGCTGGGCTTTAACTTTAATGTCATATGATTTTGATTTAAGTTACGTCCCCACACAACAATTTGGTTGCGCAGATGTTTTGTCGCGACTCATAAACAATAAACAAAAACTCGAAGAAGACGTAATAATTGCTTGTGCAACACTGGAAGCAGAAGTGAAATATTTGGTTCAAAATAACATCGATGTTTTACCCATAACATACAATATGGTACGCTCAGCCACTCAAAAAGATGAAACAATACAAAACGTAATAAAATACATCAAAAGTTCTTGGCCGCACGCAAAGTCTGAAGAAGAGATGCTATTTTTTTTCCGTAAAGATGGATTATGCGTTATTGATGATTGTCTTCTCTATCAACATAGAATTGTGGTTCCAAAAAGTCTACGCCAACGTGTACTTAATCAGTTACACAAAGGTCACCAAGGTATAGTTCGTACGAAAGCTCTAGCCCGAAGCTATGTCTATTGGCCAAACATAGACAAAGATGTGGAAATGTTAGTACGTCAATGCACAGCCTGTGCATCCACAGCAAAAGCTCCACCAAGAGCAAATCTTCATCCCTGGCCTACTGCACAAAGGCCAATGCAACGTATACACATTGATCTGGCAGGTCCTGTGGAGCAGAAGACGTATTTATTGGTGGTGGATTCGTTTTCCAAATGGCCGGAAGTTTACCCTCTGAAATCGATGACGTCAGCAGCAGTTATCGATTGTCTTAACGATTTTTTCTCACATTTCGGATGGCCTGAAACATTGGTGAGTGACAATGGAACACAATTTACCTCACAAGAATTTTTGGATTTCTGCAGGGTACGTGGTATTGAACACTTACGTACTGCTCCATTCCACCCACAATCTAATGGACAAGTGGAACGTTTTGTGGACACTTTTAAGCGGGCGCTTAAGAAACAAAGTTCATCAAATTTAATTAATGGAATCCGTGATTTTTTACACGCCTATCGTGCTACAAACAACGATAATGCATTCCAAAGCAAATCACCATCGGAACTTTTTTTGGGGAGGAAGGTAAGAATCAACATGGATTTGATTCTAAAACCAAAACAAGTTTCTAGTCATTACAATGACAAAATGGCATTGCAATATAATCGTAAATACAATGCTAAAGATCGCCAATTTAACGTTGGAAGTGAAGTTTATGCCAAAGTATACAAACTGAATAAATACTTTTGGGCTCCTGGAATTATTAAAAATCGTATTGGAAACGTTAATTATGAAGTGGAGATTGTTACCTTCCCATATTTTAAATCGATGAAGTTGCACGCAAATCAATTGCGTTTACGTCACAGCAATTCAACAAGTATTAATTCGTTTTTAGATGTTTTTGATCTCAGTGCACCCAATAAAAATACATCAAGCTCGAATAGTGAACGTACACCTACTTCAGAAAATATAACCCTGGCCCCTGGTCGTTACTCTGCTTCACCAGTTACAACATCTGAGCAACGCCCTTCATCAGCAATGACACAGGATATGACAGCATATGTGCCACAAGCAACTGAAGAAGTAAACAATCAGGAAATAGTTCTTCCTGAACATTCTGACCAAGCACTTCGTCGATCGCATCGCAATAGACGGGAGCCGAATTGGTTTAGAGATTTTACAACTTAAAGAGGGAGATGTTGTGGTTGGTAACCCTTCCACCAGATGACAGTTTTATTGTATTTATCATCTTTTCTTTATACACATCTTTCATAAAATACAAACATTGTTTCTAACGGTTAGTGGTAATTTTACTTTATAATATGTATTATTCGATTAGTAGCTTTCAAATAATAAACACCTTTTATTCTTATATATATTAAAACAAGTCTTTTTATGTTTAATACAAACGAACATAACACTTATTTTATTATATTTTATTATATTTGCCTTTTGTAAATATACACAAAACAGGACAAAACAGTCTATATTTATTTTAAGATTTATGGGTGTTTTTAATTACACAACAAATGTCCAAACCACAAAGTGTTTTAAATGAAACTACCAAAACTGGCAAAAAATAATAATATAACAAAAATACAAGAAAACTTTAATTCAAATGATGGACATTATATTTCCAGCAGTTCAACAAAGAGTCAAAGCTTCCGAAAAAGACAGTCGTCTTTCGTCACGGATGTACTCTTAGTAAACGAGGGTGAAGATAATCGTCACTTTAGTTTCCCTTTGTAATCGAGAGAGTGGACACTTAGAAACCAAACTTAAGCATTTTTCGGTCTCTTCGTAAGCTGTGGGGTGGCGATTGACAAGCACATGTTAAAATAGCTAGTTACTGGGGCAGTCGGTGGCTAGCGGCCACCATAAGTGGTAGATTAAGTGGTTAGTTCGGGACTGTCCTGCCGAACTGCAGGGTTGTGATTATGTATTATTTTGTTATATGTTTGTGCATTAGTCCTGTGGCAAAATAATAGTCCTAAACATGACAACGCCATAAAAAAGTGTGAGAACTACAAACAGTAAAACTAAGTGATAAAATTAAATGTATTATTAAGATTGAGTGGGTGATGGAAAGATGATTTACGAAAATTATATTTCATTTTAAGGTTAATTTAATATTAATTTATATTCTTTCTTTTATTTTAGATATTACTACGACAAAAATATTATGACCAAGGTCCATGGCAAACGTTATGCGTATAAGTTTGATTTTCAAGGTTTGGCTGCTGCCACTCAACCAGCAGCTAGTGATCCCACCTATAAATATCAAAGTGATTTGTTTATGACACCATATCATCACAGCGCCAAATTAAGCTCATTTATGAGTCCTCATCATGGCATGACATCATCATCTGGTAAGTTGAGAAATATTTATTTATACTGAATATAGAAAGCAGGATTGGCCAAATTGGTACAATTGTAATAGTGTTGGTACAATTAGATCTTCAAAAGTACAATGGTACACCAACGACCCATTTTGTTTAACACAAAGTTCAAAGAACTACCGACTTCGGTCAAATTTTTACTGAACGTTCTATTATTTCAATGTCTGGTTATATTTTATCGTTAAAGGTTAAATTGACAGTTTTCATACAAAAAATATTTTAAACGGAAGAATATCTACAGGTTAAACGATAACCGAAGGTGGTGTTAACGGGCCTAAATGGTCTTATTTATTGACTAGTCTAATGACTAATCTTTAATTTTGAATACTTTTAACTAGACGTTTAAAGTATCTCAAGGACTATTCTATGAAGTCTTAGGATTAGTATAAAAATACTAGTTTATTGTCTAGTTATTGACTAGTCTCCCGTTTTTTCTATAGAATAGCCTATTGCCTAGTCAATGGTCTGGTACATTGACTAATGAACTTACTGATACATACAAATATTGATTAGTTTTTACTGACTGAAGAAGTCGGCTTGCTTTTGTTTTATATTAATTTGCAAAAATATATATTTTGTACAATCGGATTCAAAAAAGTGGACTTTCAAATGCTATTTTGTACAATTTAAAAATTCCATTTACCATCCCTTATAGAAAACTATTTAATTAACTATAAGTTTTAGTTTGAATATAATGATTTTAAGGGCTTAAAAGTTAAGTCTTTAAGCTTCAGTGAAAGATTAGAATTTCCTAAAAATTAATAGTTTACTGTAATAAATTCTGAGAGGGATTAATGAAAAATATTCATTGCATTTATATACACAATTTCATATTTCATTTTTGATAAGCATTATTTCAGTTAGTTAATTGAAATGAAGGGTCCTATGTTACATCAGATCTGTAGAAGTACATCTAGTTTACTGTGGGTCCTGCTCTTGTTCAGCAAAGTCTCTGTTGGGAATCGAAAGCACAACCTCCAGATTGATAGACTAGAACAATTACCGGAGGAACCCAATCACTATTTTAATAAAAAATTTATTTAATTGTATGCATAATTAAACATAATCATTTCATTCCGAACATAAAATTTTCATTGTATTAATGAAATTTTATATATTTATAATGAATATGTAATAACGCGTTTCATTGTCAATAGAACATTTACCGGAGGCACCCAATTACTATTTTAATAAAAAATTTATTTAATTGTACGCATAATTAAACATAATCATTTCATTCCGAACATAAAATTTTAATTTCATTAATGAAATTTTACATATTTATAATGAATATGTAATAACGCGTTTCATTGTCAATACTGAAGATATTTCTCTTAAGAATTAACAATAATTCCTTTAAAAGCACCACTTCAAATCCAACAATTTGTAATTGGATATACCATGTTGTCATATAATAAATGTGGTTGAAATGTTAAAACTTAAACAAAATTTATTCTCTAAGTACAAACTATAAAAGCGCCCTTTAGAAACACAAAACATTATTTAATAATTTTAATTTTTGATTTTCTCAAATAAAACATTTTAATAACATTTTTTCTCTTTTTTTTCAATCTATTTTTAGCTTCCATATTTCCATCAGCCGCCTCGTGGGGTAATTGGGGTAACCATGCCACCAACTTGTATCAACCCCATTCGATGGGTCATGTAACACCCTCTCATGTTGCTCCACATTTGAGCTCCTATCCCCATTACGCATGACCATCATCGTCCGGTGGTGGTTTCTAATATGAGAGTAACGCCATCGCTGGCAGCAGTGGGGCACATTCTATGCATTCAGGTGGTGTGATGGGTAGCTCGGGTGGCACGAGTACAAGTGCAGCACAGGCTGCAATAAATGTAGCCACTTTACACAATCTAAGTTCAGCCGTTAACTCCAGCAGCAACATGTCAACTGGTTTAGCCAACAACACAGCCGGCGGCTTAAATAGTGGCCTCAACTCGAGCGGCAGTATTAACCACAATAGCCTCAGTCTAACACAGAATAGCAACAGCGGTGGCACAAATAGTCTCATTAATGGAAATCACCTTAACATTGCAACAGCCTCTCTGGCCTCCTCTCATACGCATGGTGTGGGCATGGGTGTGGGTGTTGGCGGTGGCAGTGGTTTTGGCAGTATTGGCGGTTTAGGTGTGGGAGTAGGTAGCAGTAATTTGAATTCTTTGGTAGTTGGCAATCGTTTGATGAACTCTGGTCTAACTACCATATTGAAATGATAACATATGGCTGAATATGGTTTAACCATAGGTAATACAAACGAAACGCGACCCTCATCAATGGCAAATACAATTGAGCCCCTAAACGCCTCCACCTATAATACCACTTTCACAGATACTCCCTCCTTCTACCGACACATTAAGGGTGAACAACCATACTAAACGAAACCACCAGTTAATGAGCAAATCTACAAAACAACTAAATCTAAACAGTGTATTCTAATTTTAATCGTGCAACAAAATCCCAAATGAATGTGTTATATAATTTAGCTCTCAAACGGAAACCAAAAACAAATTGTTCATTGAGGCAACCAAACAAAATCTTAGTATTTCCAAATTAATGCAAATATAATTAAAATAATTAAAGTGAAAAAAAAACCAAAAACATTATCCTCATCTAAAGTTCAATAAAATACTAACGAATTTTCAATTGTTGTTTATTGTCTAAATGCAAAAAAAGGAAACAAAAACTTTAATTAAGAAAACCAAAATATAAAATAATGCTCTTCTTCTAGTCATAAATGTTGTTTTAAAACAAAATTAAAAAAAACTCTTGCTAGATTTAATTACTTGTAATAATTAAACTGTAAATATTTTAAAATAAACCAAAAAATAATTGTAGTTTTTTCCAAATAAATAAAACAAAACGTGTAATTGTAGCAATAATTTTAAAATATATTAAACAAATATTTATACATTTTCATTAATTATAATAAGAATGACAAAATGAAAATTGTATAAATTTGTGTTAAAGTAATTTTGACGTCTCTTTTTTCACAGTTTAATTTAAATTGACATTTATATTGAACTGGATGACTGTGATAGTGAAATGTACAGTTTATCAATAAAATATATAAAATAAATAAATTTATTAATTTTATTAAATAACAACAACATAAAAAGTAGAAAGTATACAAAAATATATAAAACCTTATTATTTTAAATATAATTATGTATATTTTCTACTAATTATTTGTTAAATTTGAACAATTCACAACTGTTATTGTAAAGTTGTAATGTGTTAGTGTTACATTAATAGTTGTAAGTTGTTCAATTTGTTTTTAAGTATCTTAAAATTGTAAAATATTAACCATTAAAATAATTCCATCGATGTTTAAATATTAATGTTTTATTCTAATTAATATAATGAAAAAAAAAAAACAAATTTCAATATCTCAATGTACTCGTCGTATTTATGTTTATATATAAAGAAACACACTTTTCCGAAAAGATAACTTTAACAAAAGAAAACAGATTTATTGATGAATGTATGTAAAATATTTTTAATCTTGTCTCTGTGTAAATTAAACATTAAATATAAAAAAGAAATTTTTAGACTAATTAAGTTCTTAAATTAAAAATAATAATAATAATAACAAACCATAAATAAAAGATAAAAAAGTATTTGGAAAAATTAAAATTTAAAGGTTTTATTTATTAAATAGTAAATGGACCAGATCTCAATGGATGGTTTTAAGTAATTGTTTTGGTTCTTAACCTTCTAACCCCGTCGTTGTCCAACTTTAAACACCGCCACAAAAATGTTATAAATATTAAAGAAACTTTATGTCATTCTCTATGTTCCTGCTGTTTCCTCCCCTTAGAGAGGTATCAGTTCTTATTTTTATGAAGAGTTAAAAAAGTAGCATTTGTACTATAAACTACTGTACTACCATTTGTAGACTAGACTATAGACTAGACTATAGACTAGACTATAGACTAGACTATAAACTAGACTATAAACTAGACTATAGACTAGACTATAGACTAGACTATAGACTAGACTATAGACTAGACTATAGACTAGACTATAGACTAGACTATAGACTAGACTATAGACTAGACTATAGACTAGACTATAGACTAGACTATAGACTAGACTATAGACTAGACTATAGACTAGACTATAGACTAGACTATAGACTAGACTATAGACTAGACTATAGACTAGACTATAGACTAGACTATAGACTAGACTATAGACTAGACTATAGACTAGACTATAGCTAGACTATAGACTAGACTATAGACTAGACTATAGACTAGACTATAGACTAGATAGTCTAGACTATAGACTAGACTATAGACTAGACTATAGACTAGACTATAGACTAGACTATAGACTAGACTATAGACTAGACTATAGACTAGACTATAGACTAGACTAGACTATAGACTAGACTATAGACTAGACTATAGACTAGACTATAGACTAGACTATAGACTAGACTATAGACTAGACTATAGACTAGACTATAGACTAGACTATAGACTAGACTATAGACTAGACTATAGACTAGACTATAGACTAGACTATAGACTAGACTATAGACTAGACTATAGACTAGACTATAGACTAGACTATAGACTAGACTATAGACTAGACTATAGACTAGACTATAGACTAGACTATAGACTAGACTATAGACTAGACTATAGACTAGACTATAGACTAGACTATAGACTAGACTATAGACTAGACTAGAGATAGACTAGACTATAGACTAGACTATAGACTAGACTATAGACTAGACTATAGACTAGACTATAGACTAGACTATAGACTAGACTATAGACTAGACTATAGACTAGACTATAGACTAGACTATAGACTAGACTATAGACTAGACTATAGACTAGACTATAGACTAGACTATAGACTAGACTATAGACTAGACTATAGACTAGACTATAGACTAGACTATAGACTAGACTATAGACTAGACTATAGACTAGACTATAGACTAGACTAGACTAGACTAGACTATAGACTAGACTATAGACTAGACTATAGACTAGACTATAGACTAGACTATAGACTAGACTATAGACTAGACTATAGACTAGACTATAGACTAGACTATAGACTAGACTATAGACTAGACTATAGACTAGACTATAGACTAGACTATAGACTAGACTATAGACTAGACTATAGACTAGACTATAGACTAGACTATAGACTAGACTATAGACTAGACTATAGACTAGACTATAGACTAGACTATAGACTAGACTATAGACTAGACTATAGACTAGACTATAGACTAGACTATAGACTAGACTATAGACTAGACTATAGACTAGACTATAGACTAGACTATAGACTAGACTATAGACTAGACTATAGACTAGACTATAGACTAGACTATAGACTAGACTATAGACTAGACTATAGACTAGACTATAGACTAGACTATAGACTAGACTATAGACTAGACTATAGACTAGACTATAGACTAGACTATAGACTAAAAAATTTAAAAGTTTGTTAATAGTAAATATCGAAAACTTCAAAGCATTTGGCGCGGAAAGTTTTTAACGGTCGGGAAAAGGAAAAATACTTTTTCGACGTATATTTTTATGCTCTATGTGGATAAAGCCGATTTGAAATATAAAAAATTTTATAAAAGTTATAACCCTACCCCATATACGGTCCCCTTCAGAAAATTACTTTAACGATCATGTTAAAAATACGATGATATTTAAGGTAAACAAGTTTTATATGAACCAATATCGGTCTACAACAAGTTATGAATAATTGACCCTACTCCTCATATAAAGTTCTCTTCAGAAAATTACGAGTACAGCGATGAAATGAACATAAACAAGTTTATACTTAGGAACATATATAATTCTTCATTCCGAATTTACTAAGGATTATTCTAAAACTGACCATAACCCCTATATAGGGTTCCTTTCAGGAAAGGGTATTCCTTAAAAAAAAAGAGTTTTCCTTATTTAAAAATATGAAATTTGACATAAACAAGTTCTATACTTTACAAAATCTATGTAATGAGAAAATTATTCTTACGCCCACAAAATTAAAAAAAATTAATATTTTGTTAGTTCAAGAGCTCTGTTCATTATTGACTTAAGCCATATTCCAAATAACACCCTGATGTTTATTGGAAGCATTGCTTTTAAAATCTAATTTTTACTCGAAAACACAAAATTGGCTTTGAAGTTAAATTCTCACTCAAAATAAGTAAATATTTAAACAAAAAACTTTTTATAAAATAATTTTAAGACAAATATTTATTGTTTTCTCTATACTTTATGATAAATTATAAAATAATAATATAAAAAAAATAATTTAAATTATTAATTACAAACTAAAATAAAACTAAATCAACAAAAACATAAATTTTCATTGGATCAGTAAAGTGAACACATTTCAAACAAATCTAAATATTCTTTCTATATTTTATGGTTTGTTTTCCACTCGTTTGCTTATTGATTAAACCACACGAATTCGTAATCTTTAAGAGTATTTTCTTTTGACTTGATTTCATTGCGATCTAACTTACGCCAACGTATACGTGGCTGATAGCCATTTTCATTTGCCACATACTCAATAGTACGTTCAACATCATCATCACCAATGGCATAATAACTGCCTTCCTTATTGCCATTGCGTTTACCGGTCTCAGTATGACCGTGATAGTCTAAAATGTATTTGAAACGATACAAATCACCATCACCGTTTGCGGATGTAGAAGAAGAACCGGATGTACTGCTAGGTTTTTTGCCAGATGGCACTGCTGTAAAAAGAGAAATTTTGCTTGTATTATAAAATTGTGTTTAAGTTTAGTTGTGACACAAACCATTTGGTTTATTAAGGGTTGTAGTTTGAGTTGGGGTGCCTGAAGGTGTTTTACCCATTATAGCAGGAAGCACTTTTTGCATTATTATGTCCATTATGGGTGGTGGATTTCCGGTGTTTGTCTTTGCTGTGCCTGCAGAACCAGGACTGCCTGCTAAAGGTTTTGTAGCTGTAAAGAAAATATTTGAATAAAGAAGCCTTTTAGGACATTTTAGCAGTATATACTTTGTTGGTTGGTGTCTTGGCTAACTGTGGGACTTGTAGTGTATTGCTTGTTTAATGTATTAGTGTTTGGTGGTGTTTGTATAGGTTGCTTTCCGGAGTTTTTATTCAAGGTTGCAGGATTTGCTGATGCTTGAGGAAATACTTTGTATTCTTTAGGTTGTTCAAGCATAAGCTTTAGCTGTGTGTCCTTACCTTGTGATGCTGGCTCTTCTACACTTCCAACTGAGCTTTTTAAGGGTGTTTGAGTTAAGGTGTTTGCCTGTGCTGTGGTATCAGTGTTTAAATTACCCTCAAATGGCGGTTCAAGAGTATTCTTTGTAGGTGTTTTGGTTAAAGTGTTTTCTTGTGCTGCAGTTTTTGTGGGTAAATTTAAATCATGTTTCAAAAATTGAATAGTTTTCGTTTTTAAAGGTTTAAGATTATTATTAATAATAGCTTTGTTTGTGTCCTTATCACCGACCAATGAAAGTGCTACCATTTGGTATTGTTGCTTAACATAAGGTGCATTGGGTTGTGTTGGTGTGCTCTTAATTAATTGCTGTTGTGTTCTTAAAGGATTTTGTAATGTTTTAGTAATTGATTTATTTTTATCATTTAATAAAATTTCGCTAATTTTTGTTTTTGGTGTAGTGTGTTTTTCACTTGATTGTTTATTTGCAACAGTTGTGGTAAACTTAGTAGGTGCAAAGATAGGAGGATTTGTGTGTTCAGTATTAGGTGTTAGATTAGAGGGTGTTGAAACAAATTTATTAAGTGCAAGTATAGAGACACTTGGTACAAATGTTGAAAGTGTCATGTCAACTTTAGGTGCTGCAATTGCTAAAGGTTTTGTATTAATATTATTAGGTGTTAAATAAGCTCTACTTGGTGCAACCGATGAAGGTGTAGTGCTAAATAATTGTTGATTCTTGACAGCATTTTGTAGTTCAACTAAATCTTTAAATGCTACATTTTCTGTTACTGGTGTATTTAGTTTTATTGGCTTTTTATTCGCATTAAAGGTTAATAAAACATTTTCACCATTTAAACTGTATAGTTTACCTGCGCCTACATTCTTGTTAGGAATCTTAGGATTAGCTGCTGCATTAGCACTGGGACTGGGCAACGACTTCGACAAAGGTCTTATATCATTCTTCACAGTTTTACTTTCTATGCCATTAAGACCTTTAGGTTTATTATTGCCATTGGTCAAAAAGCAGCCCGAACAGGCTTCGGTATTGAAATTATGTTTGGCTAAAGGTTTTGCGGTGGTAGTAGTTGTAGGTGCTATCTTTGGCTGCACCATTACCTCAACAGTTTCTATAACGAAAAGTTAAATATAAGATTAAGAAAACATTAAACACAAAACATTCTTACTGGGTGGTGATTCATAAGGATAATTTCTCATGGCCAGTATACGAAATCGGCCTTGCTCATCGGTGGCATATACAGTTACATGATAAATTCCATCAGCTGTTATAAAACCAAATTCTCCCATCACAATACCACGCTCATCTGAGAGAAAGAGAAATACAAAAACAAACAATTTTAGAAACAATAATGAAGCAGTTAAATTGTTAATTAGATTATGAATAAAATCATAATTATATTTAATATTCGGAATCTATTCATCTACAATAGTTCTAATCAGCTTGTTCGACTAGATCCATTTGAATTGTATAAATTATTATAAACAAATAAATTTGACTAACTTTAACAAGTTTATTTCGCTTTGAAAGTGTTCCTGATATAACGGAGTGAGTGTTTAGGCACAAACATTTACCCGTGTTCGGACCAGTTGGACTTTCTTATGACATAAACAAAACAAACATTTCTACATACATATATATATATATATTCCACAATTAAATGGCAAATATTAACCATATTATGGCTATATTTTTTCAAATTGAATTATTAATTAATTTATGTGTTATTATCACTATTGTTGTTATTATAAATTTTTTGTTTTAATTCTCCTCTAGCTGATATTAGACCATATTTAATATGACATTTAACAATGGTTCAACCATAATCAATTTGAATTTATGAGACTATAAACAGTCAGTTAAACAATAAATTTATATATAAATAAAACATTCATTTAAATGCTAGAATAAAATACACTTTCGTATCGTTAAATTATTTAGAACTATGTTTAAATATGGTTATTAGTTTTATGACCTTGCTTTTCATAATCATAATTTTAGGTGAAATGGTTTGTTTTGATTTGTTTTTGTTTGTTGTTCTTTCTATTTATTACGCTAAAGTTTAAATAAATTTTTTTTAAATATATACCTCTGCCATAAATAATTGTAAAAATTAACATAATTAAAAATTACGTGTGACAGTTATTGACTGGTTTTGTGTGTATTTTGTTGTTTTTTAATTTGGTGACAATGTGTCTTTTTCAAATATCGAGTTAAACAGGATAAATTCAAAATCGAAAGCTTGCGAATGGGGATTTATTATATGAGCTAACTACTAATTGGGGTTGTACCCTACAATATGACTTATTAAAGATATAGTGTGAACAGCATATTGATATGTATTGATATTTGCTCATATCTCCGTTATTTGTGGATGGATTTTGCTGATTTTTTATTGGAACCTTCTCGGAACTATGTCTGATAAAATTATTGAAGATTTCGATCTCGAAGATATCTGGGGTCGTCAGAAAGTTTATTTCAACAGACGCACAGACGGACAGACAGATAGACGGACAGACAGACGGACATGCCTTAATCTACTCCGCTATCTATATGGTTCTAGAATATATATGTATATGTTTTTTATACGACCGAGAAATTATATTCTGGAAATTACAAACGGACTGACAAACTTATATATACCCTTCTCACAAAGCTGAAGTGTATAAAAATACCAATAAATGATAATTATTTAAGAAATTATTTAAAACATCTGAGTATTAAAATTTAAACATTAAATTTTAATTAAAATAATATTTATCGCCTATAAATTAAGTCCGCATTAAAACAAATTTAATTTCTATTATTAAATATAATACTCATTGGATATATTTACAATAAATAACAATATTTCTGCGCAATTTTGGCGGGTAAAACTTGACAAAAATTTCGATTTGCTTAGTACGTGCCATATGTGTTTTTGAAAATGCTGATATACAATACTGACTGGTATCCAGATCGTGCAATAGTGACGCAATTTCCGAACAAGAATAAAGTGAAACGTAACAGCTTACTGATAGGTGAATGTAGAACGTCTTACTAGTTGGATTAAACATAAATTTTTAGAACTGCGTTTTGATAGCAATGATCTTGGAGGTTCAATATTAATGGACTCTGCGCTAGTGCTGTTAAAGTATTGAGTAGTGGGTATCGAGTATCGAGTATTTGCCCTATTTTTTGGGTACTTAATACTAAAAAGTAGTTACTCAATACTTTCAGACTTGTATATGGATTTAACTTATTTAAATTTAACGGCTATGATGTGAAAAAATACAGCTCTAAAATCTAATATAGACCATATCATTATTAGAAATGCAACTCTTAGCAATATCAAATCAATGTAAAAATTATTTAAACACTGCAATAATAGTTAAAAAGTTACAAATATTTATCGACGCTATCTAAAAAAATAAAATGTCTCAAAAGACGTGTGATGTCTGGTCTAACTTTACTTAAAAAAAGGAAAAATTCCTCGTTTTTAATTTAAAATAAAACCGTTAAAAGTATCGAGTAGTATTGAGTACCCAAACGAAAAGTATTGAGTAGTATTGAGTAATCAAAAGTAGTAGAATATTACAGCACTACTCTGCGCCTCTTCCCCCCATGTTTCTACCTTGGGAAAAGTTGTCTTCTTTAACTGCCTTTATTTTGCTATTATTGCAATCCATGGCTACCAGCACCATTAGTCCGCCGTAACTATAAACTGGTGAAGACATTCGATTCGCAGTGGTTCGTGATTAAATAACAGTCCGTTTCTATAGCAATATTATTAAGGGTCCAATATTCATTGACTCTGTGTCATCTCCCCCTTTGTTTCTTTCTTGCGAAAAGATGCCTTCTTTAACCGTCCTTACTTTGCTGTTATTGCTATCCAGGGCTACCAGTACTTTTAGTCTGCCAATACTATAAACTGGTGAAGACATCCGATTCGCGGTGGCTCGTAGGACATTGTTTCGGTCTTTGTGTTGTGCCAGTTATTGGAATGTTACATTTAGATTGCTTAAAGTAGTTGTGGTTGAAATCTAAATCGCTGTGAAGGGAATGTTGGTTTATGATGCACATTGAAATTAATATTTCGGCATAAATTTCCGGTTCTGATGCTGAATCGTCCTCACAGGGAAGTGATTATAAAGTAAGTTACCTCTTTTTTTGCTATCGATCAAGTTCCCTTCATTGTTGGGTTTGTTTCCGTTCCCCTTTGTTGATCCCTTAGGGCAAGTTGTATTCTTGAACCGCCGTTATTTTGTTGTTATTGCAATCCAGGTCTATTGAGAGAGGGTCTACCTTTAAACCGTCAATACTATAAACTGGTGATGTGTCCCTGTAAGGATGTAATGTCCTTGTTTATTGGTAGAGATCACACGAAATACGTTCTAGGTGTTGTTACCGAAAGAATAGAGGCCATTCCATCAGTGTAGTTGATTTTGTTGTCGATTAATCCTTTAGATAGGGTCTGAACACTGTCAGACATTCCACAATGGGACTTCCTATCGAAATGTGTGCTCTTTGAATTTCACATAAGGGCGTTGGGAGTCATCGTTTTGACAAATATCGTCAAAGAAGAAAGTGTTAAGAAGACTGGTAATTGATATTTTTGTGTCTACATCTAAATCCGTTCAATAATAAAACTTTACATCTTGATGATATCAGTGCCAGAATATGATAGTAACAGCACTTTACTATTGTGTTGCATTACAAAAAAGAATTACTTTTGAAATTTTGAATAACTAAACATGTACTGAAAACGTTTTCAAATCATTTGCTCAAAACAAGTTGTTGTGATCGTAGTGTAAAGGTTACAAAGTAATACAGGAAGCTTATACAAGCTGGGAAATAACTTACAATAATGCAAAAGTTTATTGTTATGCTGCTCATCAAGGCAAACTTCTTTTTTTTAGAGTCCATTTGAACATTTACATCTTTAACAAATTTCAAAATATATTTTATAAATTTAAATTCTTATATAAACATTTTGTAAATTATAATCTTACTGCATTTTAATTATAACAACAACTATTTATTATAGTCACCAAAATACCAATAAAACAGATGTTTAGTTATAATTAAAAATTAATAATAAATGTATAAAAATAAATCTCGTCGGTTACAGATTTATAAAATCATTTGAATTTAATGTAAATAAACAATTAAAAGAACATCTTCACCAATCAAATAGACAAAACATACTATAAAGTTATATGCATAGAACAAAATTTATGGAATAGATATTTAAGTACTACTTTAAATAGAAACCCGCCAATTGACAGCAATTATTTATATCTAATGGACAAAACACTATGACAGCAACCACTAACTATATACTTCTTTGGCAAAATTGTTGCGCAACTTTGCTAGCGGTTTAATAAATGTATATGTTGATATGTGCATAATTTTATTTGTTTGTTTTTGTTGCTAATAAAAAAAAGAATGCTTTAATCAAGAATTTTTTTTTAAATATTCTGTTGAAATCATGTTCCTGCATATGTTTTATGGTTTTTAATGTCAATATTTTTATTTAGAGAACAAGTTACTAAATATAAAAAATATATAAAAAACTGCAGTTGTTGCGACAATGATCATCATAATTCGCATAAGCAACAGGCTATATTTTACACTGGCAACCTGCTGGCTTATCCACTTGGTATTGTTGTTGCTATTTTGTTGTTATCCACTTGTTGCATTATTGATACAAGAGGTTACCAACAAGTGTCATTTGCTAATATTGACATAATGTGGATGCAACATTTGCCACCATGTGCCAGCAATTGCCATAAAATATCTTGACAATGATGTGCTATTGATGATGAGGCAGTTTTCAACTATCTGTCCATATTATAAAGCATTTATTGATATTTTATGTTAAATTATTAATAAATTCTTAAACATGGTTATTAGCTTAGCAAATGTGTGGCGTTAAGATTTTCACTATAAATATTGAATTTTTTTATAAATTTGATTTTATGTGAAAAATTTAAAACATTAACACATGATGTTGTTATGAAGCAGTAGTTAATAGTTTTAAATATTTCAATGATAATTATAATTATAACCAAGTGATAAGTAATATTATCTATAAATAGATAAGTACTTCGAAAAATTATGTTGAAAGGATTCAGCTGTCGGGAAATTTAACTTCCGTTTATATTTAAGTAAGTTCCGTAAAATTATATAATATTTGAATGATGACTAAAGTCATACCAAATAACCAGCAATTTTTAAGCAAAGTATCTGAATCTTAAAACTTAAGCATTAAATTTTATTAATTCAATAAATAAGGCAATAAATTTGGCCAGTATTGCAAGATATTCAATTACTAATATTACGTCTAACACACATTGTATACATTTTCAGTAAACAACAACATTTCTGCGTAATTTTAGCGGGTAAAACTTGTCTATAATTAAGATTTGGCTAGTACGTATTTAAAAGTACATACAAATGTACAGGCATCCCTAAATTTCAGCCGACTACTGGTATCAGAATCACTTTCAGAGTCGGTTTAACGATGTCCGTCCGTGTGTCCATGTAAACATTGTACGCAATTTCCAAGATAATTTAATGAAATTTTGAATACACGTTTCTCAAGGACGAAGCCTATTGAAAATGTTTAAAATCGAACCATTATTTCACCTAGCCCCCATACAACTGAACCCCCCGAAAATGGCTTTTGAGCTCATAATTATGTATAATATAAATGTATCTTGATAAAAGTTCACACAACTAAGTTTTATGCAAGCCTTGATGACCTTGCCGAATTTCGAAATGATCGGATCTTATTTGACCCTAGCCCCCATACAAAGCCCCTTTCGGAAAGTGACTTTATTTACCGCAATTCACTCATTAACACTGTTATTGAAATGAAATTTATCACAGACAAATATTATATAAATCTATCCAGCCCATTTAATCGGGATCGGTCCACATTTGTTCCTATCTTCCATATAAAGCCTCTTTCAGAAAATTAGTTTGTCGTCAATAAATTGCTTAAATTAATCGGAATCAAGGTAATATTCAAGATAAATTCTTTATTATGAAAAATAAATCACATTTAATATTCATAACTGGTGTAGGGTTTCATATGGTCGGCCCGACTATACATTCTTAATCGTTTTAAATTAATTTTGAGATTAATGAAACATCTTTCATTAATGCAATGACGCATGAACAAAATCATTAATATAACGTAGAAAAACATTGTATTTACGAAGGTTTTTCTATTAGTGCAACAATACATATTTTACGATTGAAAATAGGAGACTTCTGCTGATCTGATAGATTGAAGATTTGGACTTCGCTGATATTTAAGGCTTTCAGAAAATTGATTTCAACATGCATACAAACAAATAGACAGAATGTGAAATGTATTGTCTGTCTATCTAGACAATATATCGACTCCAATATCTAAAATTTGGATTTGAATCCTATTGTGTTTTCGCTATCTTGTGTCTCTGCTAAGTGTGGAACTTTTCCATGAACATCAGTGATCATTAAAGAAGTTTTTTGGACTCTTCAATTTCAAACAAACAAAAGCAGTCAGAGGGCATATATGACACGTTCTTATATCTCAAGTTTTCAGATGTGGACATACATATTTAGTAGATACATACGTATGTATATTATTGAACATATAATCATATGTGATCCTTTTTGGCACACTTGCAAATTATTTTCGTAACATTTTGTAAAATCGATTTATAAGTAAACACGGACAAATACATATATCTAGTCTTAAAAAATGTTCTGAAATATTGTTGCAAATTTTCTTTAATTTTCTATAAAATAACTATTCTTTATTAAAAAAAAGAAAAAAAGAAGAAAAATTTAAATTCTCTTTAAAATACTGTTCAATTGAACCACGTTCTTATATAAACATTAACTAAGTACTTATTTACAAACATAAAATAAATAAACATTTACATATGTATACTTGCCTCTTGATTCCGAACGATGTTGTTGTTCGTCTATGGTGAAACCGAATTTGTAGGGACGAACTGTTGTGCTTTGAGCCCAGCAACATTGTTGCAGACAGCAAGCAACAAACATAAACTTTAATGAGATTTTAATTTTATTTGTTTTGGTTAATAGAAAAATAAAACTATTAAAATTATGATTTATAAAACACTTACTAAACTTATTAAATATTTCATTTTTATAACTTTTAATGATATTATTTTTACACTAAGAAAACTGATATTATTTTTTGAAATTTACAAGATACTAAATATCACTTTTTCTTAAAAAATAAAATTCGTTTTTTTCAAGTGCGTTACAAAGTTTGCCAACTAATAATTGTTAATAATTTTATAACTTCAGGCTTAAATGTTGCAATCTAAGTATTTGGAAATTTTATTAACGTTTTTATTATTTTTCTCGTTTTTTAATTGTTTTTTTTTTGTATCTGTTTTTTCTGCCTGAGTTGGCCACTTGTGAAACACACCTTACGACGTTCTATTCGATATTGACTGGGCTCACAATACTAGGTAAACATTATAAAACGTTAGAATCGTTAAAAAAAAACAGATACAAAACAACTACAAAAATCTTCATATTATTAGCTTTAAAACACACATATATGATCAAACAGGCAAATACATACTGGACCTACAGATACATTCTCTGGTTCTCCAAGCAATTTGTTGTTTTTGTCATCCGTTTGTCAGAAATAAATATTTAGGCATCAGCTGCTTAGAACAGAACAGATCATCAACAGTACTCACCCAGCATCATCAACCAGTGAGTAGATAGATATTCAATCAACTACTGCTACTCACAGATACTTGTGCAAACATTATTCTATATTTGGTTATGGAGATATAAAACATATCATATATTTTGTATGTTGTTGTTGATTTGGTGCATATCGATCGTGGGTGTAGGTGTCGTTGCTTTATTCTGAACTATTCCTGCTGCATTTTCTATTCTATAAACCAACACCTATACACCAAGAGAAACTTCAACTTATCGTTTTCATCTTTTTTTAATTAAATTATATGTCTGCTTGTTTAAAAGAGTGCTAAACATTATATCGCCTATTTGTTATTTAGTTCTGGTCATTATGATTATTGATAGTATTAAGAGGGGTAATATAATGAATAACCTGTCGTTAAATCGAAAACAATTTGCATATTGCCATTTTAAAGTGTTTAGTATTTAATGTTTATTTGCCTTTTAAGAGATTTTTCATTATCCGCTTTATGAAAGTGAGAGTGCACTTTTATCTAAAATGTTCATTTTAGTTTGTCATTAGGTTTGTAACCGATTCGCAAACAGTTTATTCAAATTAGTTGTTAAAGAGATTTATATACACCTATTGCAAGCTCCTCTGTTCTCTGTTTATTAGGGATCCAATCAAAATAATTGAAAAGTGCTTCTGTTACTCGCTTGTCATTCAAAATCTTTCTACATCCTTACTAACAATATATCGTTGCAAATGTACTTTTTTAATAATTGTAGAGTATCTAAATAATATCTTTTAACACTTCAAAATCCCAAAAATAGCGTTAATAAAACATTAATTAATTCAAAATTTTAATACCTATTGTTTGCTGATTAATGGACTAGTACCATAATAAATAATTTGATTTATTACTACTGGTATACAAATATTGTTTTTTATTCTAATAAGAATAAAAATTTTAATTTAATTTTTATTATTGACATCAGGTTGTTGAAATGTTTAAACATGAACTAGTTTAGAAAGATTTTTGATATTGACCGACATATGTTCGAATGTAATATAATTATGTTCCATTTATGATGACCTATATAAAACTGAATTTTTAGTGCTACTGGAAAAATCTGTATGACGAATGCCTATTTTTCTAATCGACAAAATTTGAACTCTTGTAGATGAATCTGGGATAACTACAGGGGTTTTCAACAAGAACTTCTCTTTTCAACAGTGTCTAATTGGAATGTCATAAATTTTTTCGGATTAAAGCAAAATTTCAAAATATTAACGTAGTCATCTTTCTGAGACTTCTGTGGACGATAAGTTTTAGTCGACTTGTTCGTTAAATAATGCTAATTCCAAAGCCTGTTAGAAATTGTCGGTACTGAAAGAGAATGTACTTGCTATAAAAGGTGGGGAGCTGGACGAATACAAAATCGTTCGAACCGACTATGAGAACATGAGCGATATAATCCCATATGGTCTCTTAAAATCATGGAAGCGTGGGTAAGACCTTGCCCTAACTAGCAGTTCGGTGGAAAAGTTTCGAACTACTTTTTTAACCTACCACTTATGGTCACTTTTAGCCACCGACTGCCCAGGTGATTAGCTATTTGAACATGTGCTTGTCCTACGAGGAAGTCAATCGTTCCCCCAAAGATTACGAAGAAACAGATAAAAAGCTTAAGTTTATTTTTTAAGTGTCCACTCTCTCTCTCTCTCTTACAAAGGGGACACTAAAGTGACGATTATCTTCACCCTCGTTAACAAAGTGTACATCCGTGACGAAAGACGAATTAGAGCCAACCAGGTGGTTAGACGTTAGTGGAAATCACTGTCTTTTTTGAATGCTTTGACTCTTTGCGAACTGCTGGGTAGATCCTGGTTTCAATAGAATGCTGCCACATGTCAGATAACCACTGGACCAAAAAAAAAATATTGCTAAAGTAAATTTCCCATCGAATACACTCAGAAAAACACATTCTCTTAATTCTTCGGTAGATTTTCTATTTAAATATCGAAAGAAAAGTAAAACACAACCCAATTTTATTCAATAAATCAAATTAGTAGAACAATGATAACTGAAAGTATTAGTACGAGCTCCCCTAAAAAACTTCGATCCATATATGTACATGAGACTTCAATGGATTTGAAAAAAGTGTTTTAAAAATTTAACAATTTTTACTAAGCGTTTAAAGCTAATCGGCGGCTACAATCCGTCGTTTCTCAGCCGTTTAGCATACATCTCTGATAGTTCTATACGCGTTTAGAAGGAGTGAGAATCAGAGAATCGTTTATAAAGCCGATGCTGTTAATCGGAATATTTGCACAAACTCAAATAATAGCTTCAAACTTTATACTTGCAAATTGTACCTGAAAATATTTGTTTTAAATGTTTGATATGTGTTGTCCCGTTAGACCAGTTCGTGGTGTGCTAGCTTATCAGTCTAGGGGTTGTGGGTTCGATTCCCACCAAAAACTCATCCTGCACGGGTGATAGAGAAATAAATAAATAAACCAGTGAAGGAACGAATAGCTAAGAGTTCTATATTCGAGTTTGCCGAATCTTATATACCCTTTACCATAGTGTGTTAAAGAATAGCACGTTTTTTCCAAAAAAAAAATACCAGTTGTAAAAAGAAAAAGTACCAGAAAGTCCGCTTTTATAGATTCTTTAACACACTATGTGTTTCATTCTATGTTTCAAGGTTTAATATTAAAAAGGATTTAAAAAAGTAGCAATTGAAGAACGGAAAAGCACCAAAATGTTTACTCTTATAAATTTTCATTCCATCATTATCCCAAATGTATGGTTCAATAAATCAGAAAATCAAAAAAGTACCATTTGAATGGCGAAATAATACAAGAAAAGAAAAAGTACCTAAAAATCCCCTTTTATAGGTTCGTATTTACTCTGGGATCTATAAGTTTAGTTGGATGCTTCTAGGTTTTATGTATATTATAGAAAATTGTAAAAGTACCAGTTAAAGAATGAAAAAAGTACCACAAAACAGTCCTTCGTTTTAAAAGAAATAGGCAGAAGATTGAACTATAAAATCACGAAATAATTTAAGCAAAGTTGGTTCTATGTACGGATGCAATATCAAACTGCTCCTAATATTATTTAACATTACTATTGTGTCCTATAGGATTAATACTACCAACTACTTTCTACACATAACTTTAAATATGATGTTACTTATGACATGACAAAAACATTTATTAAATTATATTAATTTAATACTGGTTTGCAATTATTACTTATTGGAAAATATAAAAACGTCTAGAAACTGTAAACAGATTTTAAATTAAAAAAAAAACACTTGTTCATTGCAGCATTTACACGCACATTTAACCAAAATGACAACATTTATTTACATATCTACTTTTAAAAAATTCTAAAAAATAATATCAACATAATCTAAAAGATCTACGTACGATGACGTTAATAATAATTGAAATATGACACAACAACGTCATCTCTGTCAATTTGTATGGCCAAACGTATAAATAAATTGGCAATTTGGTCGTAATAATAATTTATTAAAAATTAACTAATAATAAAAAACAAATCAGGAAATTGATATTGAAATTGATCAATTGCTATTACTTAGCTAATTTTATATTTCTATTTAAAAGTTTCAGAATTATTAACAATTAAGTGGTCATCGCATCTAATAACGCTCTCACCTCCCTCGATTTATTTGATTTATGAAATATTTTAAGTGTCACTTAATATGTTTTACATTATCAACACAGACGTGTGTCTAATCTGTGTGTATGAATGTTTATAATCTTGTAGGAGTATATCTACCTCTAACATCTATCTGTATCTGTTGTTTGTGTGAATCGAGTAAAAATATTCAAGTGTTTGAGTCATTGAGCAAATGCATGGCAAAATATGATGTAGTGTCTTCTATCTTATACTGACTGACTGGTTATTGGCAGTGTAGCATGAAAATGTGTAAATAATTCTAGCCGGATCCACGCCAAGCTTATTAAGTATTTTGTAAAGAAGACGAGAGAGTTTGCATATTGTTAAATGCATGAATATTGTTATTGATTTTTTTTTAATTTTTTAAACTTTGTGACACTGCTTTTTAAAAATTTTTATTGTTATTTTTATTATGTTTTATTATCTTATATAATATTTATGTTGTTAAATGGTAGTATGTTGTAGTAAGTATTTAAATCTTCAACAACATTCATCTGTTTAAAGATAAACAATGTTTAACAGACAAAGCTATCTGATTTGACATATAATTCTACACTTCATTAGATTTTTAACACTTTAAGAAGTAAATTTACAAATTAATTATTAACAAAATAAAAACATTTTTAATATCATTATTTAATAATTAACATTTCCTGTTCCTCTATCTCTTGTAGTGGTATGAATTTCAAATCCCTTAAGAATATGTTGTTGGTAAAAATGTTCAGATTATTAATAATCATTATTTATAATTAATTTGTTTGTTATTTATACTTATTAAGTGAGTTATGTCTGTGTCTTTGAATGGGTTAATTGTGGCTTGTTGTTTAATCATACCCTATACCATGAATGTATGTATGTTTTGCTGTTGCGTTTGATACTTTAACATATTGCTGCAACACCCATTTTAAAGTGAATATAGGTCTATATTTTCTTTTGATCACCATTCCAGTTATACTCATATCTTATATTCAGGTTCAAAACCCAAAGATCAAATTATACTTTTCCAAACGTTTGAGCTGTTCTAAATCTGAATCTGATATAAGACTTTAAAATTAATATTTATCATCTGTTATATCTTCT